AAAATCTGATAAAATTTCTCACAGAATGGTTTACGAACTCTGTCAGAGAGGTCCAGTTGAACATCTTTGCGTTCGCCAGTAAGTTGCTCTTCATCATATTCCACCTGAGTGTTGTCTGTGGAAAGTCTCTCTTGCAAGACACTAGCTATGTCTTTACTATTTCGTGAGTTCCTGCCATTGTTGTTTTGTCGCACACTGACACCTTAAATATAGAGGGCAAAAGATAAGTGTTTTTAAAATAATCCTTTTCATACAGGAAGGCTGATAGTGATCCACACACACGTGGCATGTAAATTTGGTTATATTATCTAATCGTCATGGCATTCTAATATAGTATAAACTTACAACAACCCCACCCCGCCAACCATATTTTAAAAATTCCTCATCCCTATCCCCCCAGTGTTGGATTAATTAATGAATAATCACAGCCTGTATCACATATGGTTTGTTGAAAGTTTAATAAAAAAAACAAGCCCAATAATATTTTCTAATCCAACCGACCTTGAACTTTTGCGGATGATTTATCTGAATCTTGTGAACTTGCATCACTTGCTGGCTTCTGCTGCCCCCCTTGGGCCTTTCTCTGGTACTTGATCCAGGGTGGTTCCCATCTGCTGTTTTTGAGGCCCTCTCCGACCTCGGCAGCGTTCAGACCTCCAGTGCTCTTCTTGGCCACATTGGACTTCTTCTTGCTGGGTTCAGGCACCCGGCTAACTTTGGCTGGGAAATGGAACATAATGAATTTCATTAGAACACATTTAAAATAAACTAAATACCAGTGCAGTGTATTTGAAAAGCTTTGTTTATACGAATAGTTGGACTGAAGTAATACATGCAGTATTTGTTCTTCAGAAACAAATGTATTAGTTATGTTACCATCTCCTGTACTTTTACCTACTGAAATTATTGTATGCCTCTGGATAATTAAAGTGAGAGTGCACATCAAATTATGACACTGGTGATTGGAGAAATTTAACGTGGTTCAAACTCAATGTTAGTTTAGCATAAAATAAAATTATTTGAAATAAGAATTAACAAATGAGGACATCATTTACAAAACTTACCATGTAACATTAGATTTAATTTCTTTTAGAAAAAGGTAATATCCATTAAGACTATTTCCTGTCAACATATTAATTCTAGTCCAATAACTACGACAAGCTGTAAATGGGTGAAAAGGAGAGGAGTGTAGGAACCAAACGGAGGTATTAAAAATCTTACAACTGTTTTCTAAAAATAGATTTCAAAAGCTCTATGAGATCCTTTAAAGTATGTCAAAATCTAATGTTGCTGTGTGGAACAGATAATATTTTCATTTTTTATTTTTTAAAAAGCCTAGTTATCTCAGTTATTGCCCTCGCTGCGGTTCAGCAGAATGTAATCAGTTATGTCACAATGTTTACATTAAAACAGCACTGAAACAAAGAAAAGCGAGGATTGACTAAACTTGTTACTAGGAAGGCTACGCTAATATTACTGTTGTTGTGTCTAGCCAGTTCATCATGAAGACACAAAGCAAAAATACGACCATCATTACAAAAATGTGGCAGTGTTATTTTTAGATAATTAAGTATTTAGCCCGCCC